ATAGAAGCGAGATCAGACAAGAATTCTCACCGCAGATTTAGAACATATTAAACAACAAACACATTAAAATGATGCTTCTTCCCCTCGGCATCAAGACTAAAGCCACTAACAATCCTCAGGAAACCGACCTCACTCAACCTCTGGCGATGTGATGTTTGCCTCAGACGATCCTCGCCGGATCCTCAAGCTTCCAGCCGATCACCGCGTCCTCTCCGTTGTCACATGCAGCGCTTTGGTAAGTAGAGGACCGGGGGGGGGGGAGAGATTATGCACGTCCATGTTTCGCAGATCAATTGCTTTTGTTAAGGATTTTTGCTGATTCAAGTTTTCATTTAATATTTTCACTTTAATGCAGGATGATTATGAAATAGGGTGTATTTACGTGGATATATCGATGTGCAAGGTAGAGGTGAAGGTTTAAATTGACGAATTATTTAATAAACATCATCAGGCTATTGGTGTGAGATCCCTTATGGACGCGCAGACCTTCAGATATTCTTACTAGTAGTTTCTTGTTAATGAGTGCTGTCTCTATGAGTGGTCCTTGGGTTAGAATATCATTGTTGGCATTTTCTTCTTAATGATTGAGGTTTGTGTGGACCTCTGCGTGTTGATTACTCTTTTTGATGGTTAATTATGCGACAAACAAATTTCAGGTTAATAATCATGATCCTATATATCATTAATTGTTTAGTATTTAGTAGATTTGTCTCTTCGACACTCGCAAGAATCTGGCTCCTGATTTCCCAAAGAAAAAAATATGATCAGAGTGGAACAAATCCTATACACATTCTCTGTTCCACCAACGCCGACCTCAACTCCACAGAGCTGCCCGCCCCGCGCCTCGTATTTCGCCTCCGACCTGGACCGAAAGCTGGACACTTCCATGGCCAACCTGTGCCGGGATGGTGTCAAGTCCACCAGCAATTCAATTATCATCAACTCCTTCTTCAAGTGGTTCAGGAGCGACTTCGGTGCCACGGAACAAGATGTTCTCAGGTGGAGAACCGCTCGTTAAAGGGTTTTTTGAACTAATAGATAAATAGATAAATATATATTGATAATGATAATAATACATAGTGTAATTCAGGAATTCATTATGTGTCAATGATTTAACTACCTCAACTTAAGTTTGGAATTTAACTTATATAAATATTACTTCTGTATTTAACATCATATATAGGACTTATTGCAAATGAAAACGTTAATAATGATAATTCACAGAACCTTATCACTTATCTTATATCAAAATATAAATGAATGAACACTTCTTGATTTATATTTGTCTCGTCCAGAAAACAAAAAAAAATGTACAATCACTCCGAAGAGCAGAAATGAAAAGACATCAACTTAAATACGAAATAGAAATCATGCCCTTAACTCTTGGCTACTCTTACCCTCAAGATTCCTGGCGACCTGCTCCGATGACCCGGTCAAGAGCAGTGCCCTGAGAGCCGCTGCAGATGGGAGTCGCAACTACACCTACTCCTTCGATTGGACTTTTGATAATTTAAGTCTTACAGATATTTTTCAAGCGCCATTCCTTATAAGGTAATTGGTCGCTACAGTTATCGCTACTACTGGTTGTCTATACAATCCCGCATGCAGTTGCTTTTTAGACTTCGCCTCACGGGTGTATAGAACACGACAAACACCATGGATGGTTTATTGTGGTTTATTAATGCATGGTTTGGATTTGTTTTGTACACCTGTGCGATGAGATGTGTAAGATGCTGCACGAACGATTGGATCTGACTGCGGATTACATGAACGTCTGTCATCTTTTTTCTTTCCAGTTTTGTCTGATACGATTTGTGCTAGATTTTTTTTCATTTCTTACTCTTTGCTATTTAGGGCAGGCTTTGGTGCTTCGTATTCCTTTTCTCTAACTCTCTCTTCATCTTCTCGCTATCGCAACCACACACTGACAAACACAAATGACAAATATCTATACCTTACCAAATACATATTGAAAAACACGAAGCACATTCTCACACTCACAGTGTATATTACGTACACCATGTTTATAAAAGTTCCGCATGACTTAGGTAAGTCAAGGTCGTGAATCGATCTAATAGTCCAGTAACGCCAGCTGGCAACCAAGTCTTTCTTCCAGATGTAGAGACAACTGTCGCGGAAATGGGGTCCTCAACAACAGCGACGTTAAGGACGACACCAACTGAACAAATATGGTTGTAGTATATACTCACCTTCCCTTCATGTACAAAGTAGATATGTGTTGTATTTGGTGCTGTGCTTTTTGTAGAGATGTTTGTTCTAAAGCCCTTTTAGATAGCAAAACCTTTTGGGTATAATGTGTTTATATTTCGATTCATGTGTCTTTTTTTAATGTTTTTGGGCTTTGTTAATTCATGTTGACTTATATATCTTCTTTAAGTGTTTTGTCCTTTGTTGATTCATGTATGTCCCTATCTCATCCCTTGTTCGTTGTCTTGATGTATGCATTATATTCATTGCTTAATAAAGATTACACAAATTACATGAATATTTGCTCTATTTTCATCCTATTAAACAGCTCTAGTTCGTCTTCCGATTCATCCCATGTCTCCTATTTATTTGTCTTCTAGTTATCTTGTGTGTCTATTTGCTTCCTGTAAATTCTTTTCTATATATGTATGTACAAAAACTTTCTGTCTATGTGGTATTTTGTGTTTCGTCTAATAGCTATGAAACCTACTTCTGTGCCATGGGATTTTAGTTCTATCTATAGTCTACAAAACTATTTATCAGTGTTTTAACGTGAAGAATGTCTTGATAGTAATCATCAACAGCTAAAAAGAGTACGTTGTAAGAGCATGCTTTGTGTTCTGAATTATTAATGATTTATATGCATAAATATTATTTCCATTTTTCTCAGCAAATCTTTATAGCACATCGCCCCTTCTGTTCCGTATCTTCGCGCCCACTCTCACTCTTCAACCTAAATAAAAAATCAAAAGAAAATAAATGAAAATCCGGTTTTAGTCTGTGTAATCAATGGTCACATGCTCAACAGCTCTTCCTACCTATTGCCCTTTGAGCCGTGGGCTCCAAACATTTTGGTATCGTTACATCCGATAGTATTCTTATAGATTAGAAGAAGAAAATAGAGTATTTAATTCTTTATGCATTTTATTTGCAAGAAATTATTTCATATACTCTTGATTATCATAGATATCAGCTTATCTCCTTTTATATCATCTATCAATTTATCTCTTCATTTGTTTATTATTATTATCATTTATCAATTTATCTCTTCATTTGCTTATTATTATTATCATTTATCAATTTATTCCTCGACCTACTCCTACTACCATGAGCCTCGTTACACCCCAGAATCCACATTAACCCCAGCTTAAGAATCAGTACTTTCGACTCACATCCTCAGCATTACAGCGGTTATTGTTACAACTTTTAAACACTGCGATCATTTTCATGTGTGTGTGTATGCGTATGTGTTTCCCTTTCTTTATATATATATGTATGTATGTATGTATTGGTAATATGTATGTAAATATATCATCATCGGGGGGAATAACGCCGACGGGGGCACATGGCCGCATCCACCTTTCGCTTTCAACCACGAGGGTCCTTCATGGCGAGTCTCCAGGCAGGTTTTCGTGACAAGCCTGGTCAAGCTGCCTGATCCATGACCTCCTAGGTCGTCCCACGGGCCTCATCTACTCAGGATTGTCGACGACCTGATGGGCAGCGTTATTCACAGGGAAGCGAACTAGTTGCCCATATAGCTTAAATTAGCGATCCCGGATTATGCCCACGGTGTAGCCATCGGTTGGATACATGGTCCTGCCAACTATACCCCATGATTTGGCATATGGACTTGTTACAAAAGGCATCAAGGTAAGAATCCAAGGCACTGGATAGAGTCCAGGTTTTGCTTCCATAGATAAAAACTGGCAGTATCAAGGCCTTGAACACACATAGCTTGGGCCGTCTGCATAGGTACTGACATCCCTAAATACTCTTGTTGACCGAGTTCATGGCTCTTACTGCCAGACCAATCCGTTTACTGACTTTCTGGTCTGACAGCCCAGAGACATGGACTGGACTACCAAGGAATGTAAAGCTCTGTGAGACTTCAATTACCTTGCCACAAGCATGTACTGACTGTAAAAGCCCTAACATACCTTTGTCCAGGAGACCTCTAGGCCCAAGGGCTTCGTTTCAATGCTAAATGCATCAAGAGCTACCACCAGTGATTCCAGAAACTCAGATAGGATAGCAACATCGTCGGCAAAGTCGAGCCATTAGCGGTTCAGCAGGGATATCACATATGCCTGCAGCTTTGCCACCCTTCAGCTTAGAGATAATATCGCTGATGGGTGGGTAAGGCACAAGAATTGTGTCACCACTTGTGGCCAGACTAACTGCTGAAGGATCGAGCTGGTACAGCTGTTCAAAATACTCAGCCCAATGTTTATGAACCCCAACATGATCTGACATGCTCCGTTCATCCACTGAGCAGACTGAAATCATCTGCAAAAAGGGCATGAAGTTCAGTTTGCTCAGGGCTTGGTCGGCAGGGCGAAGGTCACTTACTAAGAAATGGTCTTCAATCTCCTCAGCAAGGTTCTGAAGAACTGTTCCTTGTCCTTTCTCAGTAGTGTCTGAGCCCTTTGCACCAAGGAACAGCAGACTTAGAATCCCAGAGCTACTGGGTCCGTCAGACTTTCCGGGCGCACTCCTCACTCAATCTGCCCAAATGAAACACCCTGGAGTGGCCTCTGGAGTGACGTGGATGATCCTGAACTTCAGGATCATCATTTGAAATCCCAGGTAGTTCTGGTGAAGGAGGCCAGAAGGCTACAGGTAAGAGGAGAAATTCTGCTCCTTTCTTTCAAAGCAGCATCAGTTGTGTTGAACTCGGATCTGAAGTGTCTCCACTGTTGGGGAGATGAATTTTTGTGTATAATGCCCACTCGATTTGCGACGAATGTGTGGAACCGACGAGAGGTGTTCATGATGTACTGTAGAACAATAGTGCTATCAGTCCAGAACACAGAGTCATCAATAGGCAAAGAGAGCTCCTTCCGTAACTTTGCATCTGATGTGGCTGCCAAGACTGCTGCTGACAACTCCAGTCTGGGGATGGTAGTTGTCTTTATGGGAGCCAGTCTTGTTCGTGCCAGAATGAGAGCACAGTGAGTGACACCTGACACATCCTGTACCCTCAAGTAAGAAACAGCTGCATAGGCCTTTGTGGATGCATCACAGAAATGATGTAGCTGCACACTGATGATTCTTCCAAGATTTGTGGGCACTATGCACCTATTGACACAGAAACCTTCCAGTTCCTTCAATTCACTGAGCCAGGCATTCCATTTTGTGGAATTCTGTGAGTCAAGCTCCTCATCCCATCCTCGTTGACGTCTTACTTCCTCTTGGTAGATCATCTTTGCTCTCACTGTGAATGGGGCTAGGAAGCCGAGTGGATCATATACTGACCCCATAATACTTAGCATACCCCTTTTTGAGATTGGCTTGTTCGGTAGCATATCACTCTCCAGGCTCCACAGGACTCCTAAGGCTCTGTCGGTTGGTAGGTCCTGATTTGTTAGATCAATATCTTTAACAGGAGGACTCCTGTCCTCCTGTGGGATTGCAGTAATAACTTCTCTTGAATTGCCACTGAGTTCTAAAAAGTCCTTCAACTGCTTTGCTTGGTGAATGGCAATTGCTTCATTCTAGACAGACATCAAGAGGTAATCTACATAGTAGTTCCTTTTTTTATCTGCTAATTTGGTTTTAGATAGCGTCTTTAATAGAGCGAATGACGCGCATGGGCTCCAAACACCACCGAACAAGTGCACAATCATGCGATACAGTTTTGGCTTCACAGAGAAATCCCCTTTAGGCCACCACAAGAACCTTAGAACATCACGATCCTTTGGAGTGACCTTTACTTGGTGAGACATGGCCTTGATATCAGCGGCTACTGCAACTCTTCTTTCTCTAAACCAAAGCAGGATACTCAGCAAGTCATTCATCAAGTTTGGGCCTTGCATGACCTATTTATTTAGGACGGTGCCTTCAAAACAAGCAGCACAGTCGAACACTATGCGTATTTTGAATACCGGCTGGTGGTCCTTCTCCCTGTGCCTGTTCAGCATGTTCTTCTTGGAGCAACTTCTCCATTTCTGCTACATATTTAGTCTTTGAAGACGCATTTTCAGGCCAGTGAGTCGTCTTCTCACCATAATCCAAATGTCTGGTAACTGGGGCTCAGTTTCCTTAACCCATTCGCGCCGGGCGTCACGTATACGTGACGGGCCCACTGTGAGTTTACTTGTTTGATTGTTTACATACATAGATGGCTCCACGTGCACTTGTACTGCCTGTCTCGTCTGTTTACCCTTTTCTTTAATTTACGAAATTATTTTGCGTTATCTTATTTGGCTGTTACTAATGTTTATAACATTATAGTAGTTATAATGTTTATAATAAAAATAACCATCAATACTCATAGCACTAGTAAAAATACATTTTCCCGCCAAATGAAATCAGGTAAAGCAGAGCCATCTAGTGTAGAGAAATTTCATTAAAAAATACAAAAAATGAGCACAGCATTTCCCCCATTTTTTGTTCATTTTTTGTTAATTTTTGGGGGGTTAAAGGGGATTGGAAATTCATAATGTCTCTCGACCATGGTTCCTTTTCCAGTGCTCAGCAACTATTTCCAGCAGAAGATGTGTCTTCTGACACCTGACCAACACAGCTCCGAAGGCCTCCTGCTGTAGTTAATAAAGCACTGTAGTTTTTTACTCTGTTATCATACAGCAACGTGGGTTTAGAACTCTGCAGTAACACAACACCGTGGGTTTTTTTACTCTACAATAAGATAGCACCTTGGGTTTCAGACTCTGTAATAAACACAACACCGTGGTTTGTTACTCTGCAATAAAAACGGCACCGTGGTTTCCGATTCTGTAATAAACACAACGCCGTAGTTTTTAACTCTGCAATAAAAACAGCACCTTGGGTTTCTGATTTCTGATTCCGTGGTTTTTAACTCTGCAATAAAAACAGCACTGTGGGTTTCTGATCCGTGATTTTTAACTGCAAAAAAAAACCCAGCACAGTGGGTTTCTGATTCTGTAATAAACTCAACATCGTGGGTTTTTAACTCTGCAATAAAAACATCATAGTTTTTTGTTGTCCAGCGATTTCCAGGATTTCCTCGTCTCGTGCTTGCAGTCGTCGCGCGCTGCCCTTTCCACCGTCTGTTGCCGACAGGCTTATTCAGTAGCAGTCAAACCTGTTAAATAATACATCGATTGTACAAAAGCACACAATATACAAAGCCACTAAATATCAACACACATTAGATGTTAGATTATATAATAAGAACTTCCTACAAATATTGGATACATACACATTGCTACAAAACCAGCGTAGATAGCCATGCACAGAGAAATCATTACTCGTCATCATAGCGCTTTAATCTGGTAGTGGAATGTTGGATGTGAATCCCGCATGTGT